GAAACTGATAATAGTTTCTTGATATTTCTTCCCAAAAGTTCCTAAATTCTGCATTGTATGCCAATGAAAGACTAGATGGTTTAGCATAGAAATCAGGACTGTACATTGCCAACTATCCCAAACAGCACACAAGACGTATTTTTTAGGTCTTCATTACGTCTGAACGTCTGAAGACATACTTACGACTTCTTTAAGACGCCTTGAAGATGTAAGCAGACGTTTAAAAGACGTGTTGAGAATGTCGTTTGTAGACATCTTCAAGGACTTTTTCAAAATGTCTTTGTGCTGTCTAGGTATGTAATGGTCTTCGAAGAGGAGCTATACTGCAATATTCCTGAGTTTCTAAACGATACTCCCTTCCAGCTTATAGATTATGGCAAAATTCAAAGGGAGATCTGATTTTGAACATTATCTTCCATTGACGCTCAAATTGTTATGACTCTCAAACTGACTATTGACGCGATTTTATTTTTGGAGCTATAAGTCTAATTTTAAGTACCTACCAAGAAAAAGTACTTAAGTACAAGTTTCTTTTTTAATACGAAATACTTAAGTACCGGTGTAAGCATAAGGGAGATATGAATGATTTGGGCATTTAAACCGACTAGCTTGTATCTAGTACCGAACTACCATTACAGTAAGTATTTTAATAACACTTAAGTGAAATTTGAAAAAATTGTAATAATAAATAAATAAATAAATTAATCGTAACTACAAGTACCAATGTTTTGATTAGTACTTACCATCGAGGTACTTACCCATATCAAATACTTAAGTATCTTTTTGTACTTAAGTATATACATATACTTCAAGTATTTGAAACACTCAGTACAACAATGCTGAAAATGATTATTGAGGAATTGTAATTCTCCACTCTACATTTCCTCTCTACTTTATTCTCAGTGTTCCCGTCTCAATTTATATTTATTCCTGGCTCTTGAATTTCCTTTTTCTTCAATTTCTTTCAAATAAAGAGAGTTCAAGAGCCTAGACTAGATAAAATATTGATATTTTCACTTGTCAACCAATTTCTTCTGAATTTTCCCTCGATTTTCTCTTTCTATTTCTCAATTTTTATCAAGTTTTTCTCTTTCATTTTTCACGTCTTAATTTTGTGTTTATTTCCTGCTCTTGAATTTCCGTTTCCTCCAAATGTCTTTCTTTAAATAGAGAGACTTCAAGAGCCTGGAATAAAGAAAATATTGATAGGTATTTCTACTTGTCAATCGATTTCTTTCTAATTTTTTCCTGAATTTCCTCTTTTCATTTCTCAGTTTTTATTAAATTTTCTCTTTCATTTTGGTCTCCTTTTTCCTAATTTTCGGCTTATTCTCTGGAAAATACTAGAAGAATCTTCGAGTCCTGAATTTTGATCGATTTTCTTCGTTATTTAATAAGGATTTTTGGATCAAATCTTAAATTCTTGATCGTTTCTTTCCTAATTTTCCGCTGTTTTTCTGGACAAGACTGGAAGAATGTTTGGGTTCCAAATCATGTTTTTCTCTAAGAAGATTCTTAGGACATTTTCTCTAATTTTTCTTCAAAAAATTCTATTAATCAAATTTTGATCGTTAATTTCCCAATTTTCTCCTTGTAAGTACTTAAGTATTAGGTACTTACAAGTTTCTTTTTAAATCGAATCAAGTAGGTACTAGTACAAGTACAGTATTAGTACAAAAGGAAATACTTAAAATATCAAGTAATTTGACTTGAATTGCCCAAATTTAAGTACAAGTATCAAATTTTTCGAAAATTAGAGTCAAGTTTGAGTATTTAGGTACTTAAACTTTCGTACTTGAAATGACATCTACATTACTTCTCTAGTTAATTCTCAGTTTTTCCGTTTCAATTCTTGTTCATTCCGGGCTCTTAAATTTCCTTTTTTTTTCAATTTATTTCAAATAAAGAGAGTTCAAGTACTTGAAATGACATTTACATTTTTTCTCTAGTTAATTCTTAGTTTTTCCGTTTCAATTCTTGTTTATTCCCGGCTCTTGAATTTCCTTGCTCTTCAATTTCTTTCAAATAAAGAGAATTCAAGAGCCTGGCATAGAGAAAATATTGATATTCTCACTTGCCAACCAATTTCTTCTCAATTTTTCCTCAATTTTCTCTTTACATTTCCCAATTTTTACTAAGTTTTTTCTTTCATTTTTCCCGTCTTAATTTTTTGTCTATTCCCGGCTCTTGAATTTCCGTTTTCTCCAAATGTCTTTCTTTAAATAGAGAGACGTCAAGAGCCTGGAAAAAAGAAAATATTGATATTTTTACTTGTCAATCGATTTCTTTCTAATTTTTTCCTGACTTTCCTCTTTTCATTTCTCTCTTCACTAAATTATCTCTTTCATTTTGGTCTCCTTTTTCCTAATTTTCCGCTTATTTTCTGGAAAATACTGGAAGAATCTTCGACTCCTGAATCTTGATCGATTTTCTTCGTTATTGAATGAGGATTTTGGGATCAAATCTCAAATTTTTGATCGTTTTTTTCCTAATTTTCCGCTGTTTTTCTGGAGAAGACTGGAAGAATCTTTGGGTCCCAAATCCTGTTTTTCTCTAAGAAGATTCTTAGGATTTCTAGTCTGAGTCATTTATCATTGGATATTTTCTCTAATTCTATTAATCAAATTTTTATCGTTAATTTCCCAATTTTCCCCTGAAAAGACTGGGAAAGTAGGTACTTTTAAGTATTAAGTACTTACAAGTTTCTTTTTTAATACGAATCAAGTAATAGTTCAAGTAGGTATAGTATAAGTACACAAGGAAATACTTAAAATATCAAGTAAATTGACTTGAATTGCCCAAATTTAAGTACCTACAAGTACCAAATTTTTCGGAAATCAGAGTGAAGTTTAAGTATTTACTTAAACTGTCGTACTTGAAATGACATTCACATTTTTTCTCTGGTTAATTCTTAGTTTTTCCGTTTCAATTCTTGTTTATTCCCGGCTTTTGAATTTCCTTTTTCTTCAATTTCTTTCAAATAAAGAGAATTCAAGAGCCTGGAATAGAGAAAATATTGATATTTTCACTTGCCAAACCAATTTCTTCTCAATTTTTCCTTAATTTTTCTTTGCATTTCTCAATTTTTATTAAGTTTTTTTCTTTAATTTTTCCCGTCTTAATTTTTTGTCTATTCCCGGCTCTTGAATTTCCGTTTTCTCCAAATGTCTTTCTTTAAATAGAGAGACTTCAAGAGCCTTGAATAAAGAAAATATTGATATTTTTACTTGTCAATCAATTTCTTTCTAATCTTTTCCTGAATTTCCTCTTTTCATTTCTCAGCTTTTATTAAATTTTCTCTTTCATTTTGGTCTCCTTTTTCTTAATTTTCCGCTTATTCTCTGGAAAATACTGGAAAGAATCTTCGATTTTCTTCTTTATTGAATGAGGATTTTGGGATCAAATCTTAAATTCTTGATCATTTCTTTCCTAATTTTCCGTTGTTTTTCTGGAGAAGACTGGAAGAATCTTTGAGTCCCAAATTCTGTTTTTCTCTAAGAAGATTCTTAGGATTTCTAGCAACATACCCTTAACTCCATACACTAAATTATTCTCAGATTTGAAACCGAAATCTATGAAAAAGACACTCAGAAAAATTGAAAAATTATTGATAAATCACCCCAAATTGCTTAACACGATTTTATCTCAGGAACTATAAGTGCAAATGAGCTGAAATTTTCAGGGATTGTAGTCCTTTTTTTCCCTGAAAAGATTGGGAAAGTACCTACTTACGTATTAAGTACTTACAAGTTTCTTTTTAAATGCGAATCAAGTATTAGTACAAGTACAGTATAAGTACAGAAGGAAATACTTAAAATATCAAGTAAATTGACTTGAATTGCCCAAATTTAAGTACCTACAAGTACCATATTTTTCCAAAATCAGCGTCAAGTTTAAGTAGGTATTTACTTAAACTTTTGTAATTGAAATGACATCTACATTTTTTCTCAGTTTTTCCGTTTCAATTCTTGTTTATTCCTGGCTCTTGAATTTCCTTTTTCTTCAATTTCTTCCATATAAAGTGAATTCAAGAGCCTGGAATAGAGAAAATATTGACATTTTCACTTGCCAACCAATTTCTTCTCAAATTTTCCTCAATTTTCTTTTTACATTTCTCAATTTTTATTGAGTTTTTTCTTTCATTTTTCCCGTCTTAAAGATTCATAGGATTTCTAGTCTGAGCCATTTTTCACTCTGCACATTTTCTCTAATTCTTCTTCTTCAAAAAAAAACTCTTAATAATCAAACTTTCCCATTTTTCCAAAAATCGAGAAACTCACCCCATATTGCTAACGGACCAGTACTAATGTTGAAAATGCTTGTAATCAAGAGGGGTACCTACACTAAAATGTTTATGGATGGACATAAAAGAAGTACCTACTTAGTAATTGCCATTGGAACAAAAAAAAACTGGAATAAATCGTACTGTCAAAAATCCAGGTTTCTTCTGTATTGTCCAACGACTCAAAAGCCAATTATATTCAAAATTTGAACTGATATTATAGCGATTTTAGATTCACTGGGTTATTTTTCTTGAGGCAATAATAGTCCAAAGTCCAATAGGTAATTATTATTATAATCACCCTGTATCTTGTATTTTTTAGTATATAATCACAAAACCATTTCTTATAGTGTATAGATAATGAACCTGTCTCATTTAGTTGGTATATACCTACAAGAGTGACTAATGATTTCGCTTTTTCCACGTAATTGTTTTCAATAATTACCAGCAAAAGATGACTTATATTATTCGAAGTGGTTTTTGTTCACATTTTAATTAATTTTTAAGTTTCTCGCCAAAAATATTAACCCAAACAAAATGTTTATATAAGTAATCTACACTAATTAAGAAAAACCGATAAAGTTTTATCAAAGAATGCCGGATACAGCATTTGGGAAAATGCGGTTTGAATTATTTAGTAAACCGTGTTAAGATGTCAGCCGCAATGCCACATCCGGCAGTCGAAATAAAAAAAATCCTGAGAATTTTTTTTTTGCAGTTTCAACCCCACAAATAATAAAAAATTCAACCGATCCAGTAATCAACGCAGGCGATGATTACCAGCTAGCTTGCCAAGGCCTCGATGGCCCTTTAAAATGGACTTATCCAAAAATATCTGATGTAAGAATATTTCATACAAAAAAAGGAAAATCGCTTAAAAGTAGTTTGATTTTTTAGAATGAAAAAAATAAGTGGACTACGTTTTATGTTGAAAATGCAGATTACAGGTCGGTATTACACATCAAAAACATGTCTTATCCATTTGTAGGCAATTATACTTGCCATTATGAATCCATGCCAGATTTAATGGATCAAATTTACTTATACGTCAATGGTATGTAATAATTTTGTTCCAATTTTATTTATAATTATGTATCTTCCAGATCCAGACCATCTTTCAGTAGAATGCGACGATCCCCCAGCCGAAAACGAATTCGGCAATTGCAACTTGATATTTGCCGTACAATACAGAGAAGCCACAATTCCTTGCCGACCTACGAGTCCAGATATAGAAGTCGAACTGTTGGATTTCGGAAACGACGATGAGGTACAAGAAGCTTATAGAAAGGTGGCCAGAATTGTCAATTTATACAAATTGTTGTCAAAACCGCCCAGAACTTAAAAATGTAAACATTTTTAAGTTCTATGGGAGGCTGCGACTTAATTAAATATGGCTGTAGAGGTTTTTGAAAGTTGCACACCCTATAAATTCAACACACAGTTGGCCATTACTGGATTTGACACCCATATACCTACTTCTATTGTTGCAGAAGTCAAATGACGGTGTCCCTGTAAAACTAGATGTTTTGTTAAAATACAGCGACGAAAGCTACGACACCATATATCGTTTTGATTCTAAACAAGGATTTTTGACCAATGATACGTTGACATTGTGGAACAGATTGAGTCAAACTTGGGTGTGCAAGTTCATAAGTAGGGATCAGAAAATTGTTCAATATCAAGTCCCAATGCGTGTAGAAGGTCTGAGTCACGATTTATTAGCGCTTTTAGCCGGCTATAACATACCCAGGCATAATTACTTTTGTAAATAGAATAATGGCTTGAGAAGGTCCTACGATTTCAAATATTAAATTGTATTAATTCAAAACTTTTTATTTTTCCAGAAATTTGACCCAAAAATTGGATTCACTTTTAACGTAACTGACTTACAATTTAATAACAATTATATTTGTCAATTTTCTCGACCAAACATCAATAGTAGAGAATTCTTATATCTCTTTACCATGGAAGTAGAGTGTAAGTAAAACAATTACTTACATTTTGGTGTTGGTTGACCTAATTTTGGGGCTCTTCATATTGCATCCTGCTAACTCAAATTGCTTCTCATGCAAATATAGCTTCATTTTTGTTGTACATTCACACAAAAATTACTTTTAGCTCCAAAAGCTTTCATAGCTACACCTTATATAGAAGCCATTTCCAGGAATCATACAGAAGTTGGTCAAAATCTCGTTCTAACTTGTATTTTACAAGATGACCGCAAGACTATTCAGTTTGTATGGAAGACGCCTCAAGGAGAGTTTTCTGTAAGAATTTGTACAATAAAAATAATCATTTGGTAAGAAGTTTTTTTAGGCAAATGATGCCAAAAACTCAAGGGTAATCGTCCACACTACCAAAGAACATCCAACCAAAATTGCAAATCAAAAACATTTAAACTCCACAATAACTGTCTATGATGTTTCTCTAGAAGATTCCGGAATATATTCTTGTGAAGTAAGAGACAAACAAGGTAATCACGCCCAATCGGCCATTGCAGAATCAATTAGAGGTTTGTATTGTTTTCTGTTTTGAATAGTTATCACTAATAATTGGTTTTGTTTGGTAGATAAGGATAGTTGTTTTGTAAATATACAAGTGCAACACGATCAGGAGTATTTGGAGGTCGATGCTGGTGAATATCCGGCCACATGGATTTTGGATATAATGGCTCATCCAAGTCCGGATTTAATATGGTAGGTAATAATTTTCGAAAGAGAGGTCAAGTTTAGTGAAGAAGAAAATTTTCAATGTTCGATAAATTCAATTTTGAAGCTTCTCAGGTGCGAAACGGTTGAAACCAAATTAAAATATTAATTAAAAGGACATAGAGAATTTAATTGGCTTTGATTAAAGGCTAATTACATTGAAATCATATAAAAATTAACGGAGTTGTGTGGCAAAAACTGTCTTAGAGACATTTTTGGAATATTTCCAATGTTTGATAAATTCAATTTTGAAGCTTCTCAGGTGTAAAACTGTTGAAACCAACTCAAAATCTTAAATCAACAAGTTTGTAGAGAATTTAATTGGCTTCAATAAAAACTTAATCATATTGAAATTGGATGAAAATTACTGGAGCTGTGAGGCAAAAACTATCGAAGTGTAATTTTTGGATAAATTCAGTTTTGAAGCTTCTCAGACTCAGGTGCAAAACTGTTGAAACCAACTCAAAATTCTAAATCAACAGGTTTGTAGAGAATTTAATTAGCTTCAATAAGTGCTTAATCACATTGAAATTGGATGAAAATTAACGGAGCTGTAGATTGTAGATTTCGGGGGAGTCGTTTTCGGCTTTTCAGCCGCTCAGCACTGCTACCTTTGCAGATATTTTGTGCGTGACTCTACATCTTAATTTGTCTCCAGGAAGCGTAGACTTCTGCCGAAGGAAGCTATTTTCCTGGGTGTCAGTTGGCCCACTTTTTCTGGTGACAGTGTTGCCCCCTCGAGGAATTTGAGCCTCTTGCAGAATTGGGCTGGACATTCGCAGAGCAGGTACTCTGCGGTTTCTATTGCGTCTGAGCAGAATCTGCAGATATCGTCTTCTGCTCTGTCCATTAACCTTAAATGGTATTTTACTGGGCAGTGTCCTGTGAGCAGTCCCACCACCAATCTGATGTCTGGTCTGCTCATGCTTAGGAGCTGTTCAGCTCTTTTTGCTGAAAGGGTAATAAACCTTTTTGACTGTCTGAGTCCCGGTGTGTGCCTCCAATATGATGACAGTTGGTCTTTCTCCCATTTATTGAATTCTTCCATGATGTGGCTTTACATTAAGCCACACTAGGGCTCTGGTCCATGGTATGGTGTTGAGGCCCCTTCCTTTGCGAGGCCATCTGCTTCTTCATTACCTTCTATGACCAGGCAGCCACATCAGCGTTACCTGGTTGTGTGTCGCTAGTGTTTTTAGGGTCTTTTTACACTCCCAGACTAGTTTTGACGTGCATTTGAAAGCTCTTAAGGCTTTTAAGGCAGCTTGGCTGTCCGATAGTATGAAGATGTGTTTTCTTTTGAGGCTTTGGCTAAGATACTCTTGTGCACATATATCTATGGCAAGCAGTTCGGCTTGAAATATTGTAAGATGTTAACCCAATGCCTTGGAGAGCTTGAAGTTAGGGCCGGAGATGCCCAGTCCAGCTCCTTTCATTAGCTTGGATCCATCTGTGTACCACAGAGATGCATTGTCTGCTTGTGGTAGTTCTTTATTCTCCCATGATTGGCGGTCGTTTATTACCACTGCGAAGGGGATCTCTAACGGAGCTGTAAAACAAAAACTTTTTTATTATCATTTTTGGAAAATTTTCAATATGCCATAAATTCAATTTTGAAGCTTCTCAGGTGCAAAACTGTTGAAACCACTTGAAATCTTAAATCAACAGGTTTGTAGAGAACTTAATTACTGGCTTCAATAATAGCTTAATTACTTTGAAATCGGATAAAAATTAACGCAGCTGTGACGCAAAAACTGTCTCAGTGTCATTTTTGGAAAATTTCCAATGTTCGATAAATTCGATTTTCAAGCTTCTCAGGTGCAAAACTATTGAAATCAACTTAAAATCTTAAATCAACAAGTTTGTCGAGAATTTAATTGGCTTCAATAGGAGTTCAATTATATTAAAATCAAATAGAAATTACCGGAGTTGTGAGGCAAAAACTGTCTCAGTGTCATTTTTGGAAAATTTTCAATATTCCATAAATTCAGTTTTGAAGCTTCTCAGGTGCAAAACTGTTGAAACCAACAGATTTGTAGACAATTTAATAAGCTTCAATAAGAACTTAATCACATTGAAATCGGATTTAAATTAACGGAGCTGTAAGGCAAAAACTGTCTCATTGTAATTTTTGGAAAATTTCCTATATTCCATAAATTCAATTTTAGAGCTGTAAAACTGTTGAAACAAATATACAAACTCAAAAGATTTCTGTTTGTAGGTATGACAATGAAGGCCAACCAATAAGCCACCATGACAAAAAATACTCAATATCTCGCTCAACAGTCCAGGGAATCGACAAAATAATGTTCAACGTAATTAAACCAAATTTGGATTCTGATGGTATTTACAGACTTCAAGCCATTTCTCGTAGACCTTACCAAACTTACCAGTGTCCACAAGAAGCTAACGTTTGGTTGAACTTAACTGTTTGTGGTAAATAATAATTTTCCACATAAAATCAACCAACTAAATTTTTACATCATTAGATAAACCTTCAGTTTGTATATCATCAACACAAGAAACCTGTGAAAATACTTCCAATGATCAAATAATATTTATTGTAAATGAAGAAGTCGATTTACAATGTACTGCAAAAGGAAATCCAATGCCAAGAATCACTTGGGCCCAAGAAAAATGTTATCAAGGAAAATGTCAATTTGAAGTGGTAAAAGTTGCATCTCAACAAAAACCAATAATGACTTCAAAATTTTCTATACAAGAAAATTTTAAAATCACCAAAGAGGGAAAACTCAAGTGCATTGCAACCAATAGATTTGGAGAAGAAAATGCTACTGTAACTTATTACATGTCAGGTAAAATATTAAAATTACAAAGCAATTAATTTATTATTACAAGAAAATTATTATAGATGTGAAAGATGGCTTTGAAGCATTCCAATTTGGACTTGAGGCAAATGTTGCCAACAATGAAGTAGTTGTGGCTAAAAATGGTGCTTTAACTTTCACTTGTGGAGTTTCACCCAAAAAATCAAAAACTTTGGAAGTGTTTTTGAATAATAAAAGGCTAGACAGCGATGGAAGTAAGAATTTGTAATCAAATTTGTATATTATTTGAAACAAAATTGTTTTATTTAGGTCACCAAATAAGCAAAACATCTATGGGCTTATCAAATAAAACCACAATCACACTGAATAATGTACAGTTAAATGATTCTGGAAATTACAGTTGCCGGATCAGAAATCTTAATGACAATTCGTATGAGTATCGGAATATTAGTTTTTTGGTCAAAGGTAATTGATTTTGAAACTAAAATATTGATTGATTATTTAAAAATTGCCTTTTCAGAACCGATTGAACCAGTAATTTTGGATAACAACCTTAACGATGGAGTGATTATTGATTATCCAAACTTGAAATATGCACTTTATTGCAATATTTCTGGTATACCTAAACCTACAGTGAGATGGTACAAGGTAAGATATAAATTTATGTACAGAGTTTATTTTATAACCAAAGAATTGATTCTCTTGGGGCTGAATTTGAAGTAAAATGTTTGTTCCTGGCTCTAAAGCAGAAATTGAACTGGAAAAATATCAAATTTCGATTCCAGACCGTTTTAGAGTTACAGTCATTGGAATAGAGCGGTTTGAAAATGAGCTCATTTTGCACCCTCATAGAGCTAAAATTCAACTGAGAAGAATAGAAATTCTATTCCAGGGTCTCCTAGAATATCAAACTCTAATAACAGAAATACTTATCAGTTTCTGTACTCGTATGGTTCAAAAATCACAATTTCGTAATCCTTAGCTCTTTCTTTATGACTAAAATTTCATAAAGAAAAGAGCTAAAAGCTTGCTGAATATGTAAAAAAATACTTGGCACTCCCAGGAGTGCCAACTTTTAAGAAAAAAATCGAAAATGCGACTTAAGGTCAAATAGCAGAAATATCAGTTACTATACGTTTCAAAAACCACAGTTTCTTAACCCTTGGCTTTTTCTCTATGAAATTTTAGTATGTTAGAGCTAAAAGCTTGCTGAATATATAAAAAAATACATGGCACTCCCGGCAGTGCCAGCTTTTAGGAAAAAAATCGAGAACGCGAATAAAGGTCAAATAACAGAAATATCAGTTACTATACTCATACACGTTTCAAAAATCACAATTTCGTAATCCTTGGCTCTTTCTCTATGAAATTTTAATATGTTAGAGCTAAAAGCTTGCTAGATATGTAAAAAAATACTTGGCACTCTCAGGTGTGCCAACTTTTGAGAAAAAAATCGAGAATGCAACTTAAGATCAAATAGCAGAAATATCAGTTACTATGTTTCAAAAACCACAATTTCGTAACCCTTGGCTTTTTCTCTATGAAATTCTAGTATGTTAGAGCTAAAAGCTTGCTGAATATATAAAAAAATATATGGCACTCCCGGCAGTGCCAACTTTTGAGAAAAAAAATCGAGAATGCGAATAAAGGCAAAATAACAGAAATATCAGTTACTATACTCATACACGTTTCAAAAATCACAATTTCGTAATCCTTGGCTCTTTCTCTATGAAATTTTAATATGTTAGAACTAAAAGCTTGCTTGATATGTAAAAAAATACTTGGCACTCCCAGGAGTGCCAACTTTTAAGAAAAAAATCGAAAATGCGACTTAAGGTCAAATAGCAGAAATATCAGTTACTACGTTTCAAAAACCACAGTTTCTTAACCCTTGGCTTTTTGTCTATGAAATTGTAGTATGTTAGAGCTAAAAGCTTGCTGAATATATAAAAAAATACATACTCTAAACTTTTAGGAAAAAAAATCGAGAATGCGAATAAAGGTCAAATAACAGAAATATCAGTTACTATACTCATACACGTTTCAAAAATCACAATTTCGTAATCCTTGGCTCTTTCTCTATGAAATTTTAATATGTTAGTGCTAAAAGCTTGCTAGATATGTAAAAAATACTTGGCACTCCCAGGAGTGCCAACTTTTAAAAAAAAAATCGAGAATGCGACTTAAGGTCAAATAGCAGAAATATCAGTTACTACGTTTCAAAAACCACAATTTCGTAGCCCTTGGCTTTTTCTCTATGAAATTTTAGTATGTTAGAGCTGAAAGCTTGCTAAATATATAAAAAAATACATGGCAGTCCCGGCAGTGCCAACTTTTAGGAAAAAAAATCGAGAATGCGAATAAAGATCAAATAACAGAAATATCAGTTACTATACTCTTACACGTTTCAAAAATCACAATTTCATAATCCTTGGCTCTTTCTCTATGAAATTTTAATATGTTAGAGCTTGCTAGATATGTAAAAAAATACTTGGCACTCTCAGGAGTGCCAACTTTTGAGAAAAAAATCGAGAATGCGACTTAAGGTCAAATACCAGAAATATCAGTTACTACGTTTCAAAAACCACAATTTCGTAACCCTTGACTTTTTCTCCATGAAATTTTAGTATGTTACAGCTAAAAGCTTGCTGAATATATAAAAAAATACATGGCACTCCCGGCAGTGCCAACTTTTGAGAAAAAAAATCGAGAATGCGAATAAAGGCAAAATAACAGAAATATCAGTTACTATACTCATACACGTTTCAAAAATCGCAATTTCGTAATCCTTGGCTCTTTCTTTATGAAATTTTAATATGTTAGAGCTAAAAGCTTGCTAAATATGTAAAAAAATACTTGGCACTCCCAGGAGTGCCAATTTTTGAGAAAAAATCGAAAATGCGACTTAAGGTCAAATAGCAGAAATATCAGTTACCACAATTTCGTAACCCTTGGCTTTTTCTCTATGAAATTTTAGTATGTTGGAGCTAAAAGCTTGCTGGATATATAAAAAAGTACATGGCACTCCCGGCAGTGCCAACTTTTGGGAAAAAAAAAATCGAGAATGCGAGGAAAGGTCAAATAACAGAAATACCAGTTACTATACTCATACACGTTTCAAAAATCACAATTTCTTAATCCTTGGCTCTTTCTTTATGAAATTTTAATATGTTAGAGCTAAAAGCTTGCTGAATATGTAAAAAAATACTTGGCACTCCCAGGAGTGCCAACTTTTAAGAAAAAAATCGAAAATGTGAATTAAGGTCAAATAGCAGAAATATCAGTTACTACGTTTCAAAAACCACAATTTCGAAACCCTTGGCTCTTTCTCTATGAAATTTTAATATGTTAGAGCTAAAAGCTTGCTGAATATGTAAAAAAATACGTGGCACTTCCAGTAGTGCCAATTTTTGGAGAAAAAAAAATCGAGAATGCGAATAAATGTGAACTTTAGATATACCAGTTACTAGACTCATACGTTTTAAAAATCACAATTTCGTAATTCTCAGCTCTACCTCTATGAAATTTTAGTATGTTTCATTTAAAATCTTGCTGAATATGTGAAAAAATACTTAGCACTCTCAGAAGTGCCAACTTTTGGGAAAAAAAAAATCGAGAATGCGACTAAAGGACGAATAATCTTCTTCCCAATTTTAAACTAACCGCAACTCGCTAATGTGAATGGCTTACTCTTTCTCTATAAAAGTTTAGTATGTTTAGAGCTTAAAGCTTGCTGAATATGGTAAAGCTTACTTGGTACTCACAGGAGTGCCAACTTTTGGAAAAAATGTGAATAAAAGTTAAATAGCAGAAATATCAGTTACTGTACTCATACGTCCTTAAAATCACAATTTCGTAATCCTTGGCTCTTTCTCTTTGAAATTCTAGTATGTTAGAGCTAAAAGCTAGTTGAATATGTACAAAAATACTAAGCACTCCCAGAAGTGCCGATTTTTGGGGAAAAAAATTAAGAACGTGAATAAAGGTCAAAAAGCAGAAATATCAGTAAATGTACTTATACGTTTCAAAAATCACAATTTCGTTATCCCTGACTCTTTCTTTATAAAATTTTAGTATGTTAGAGCTGAAAGCTTATTGAATATGTCAAAAAATACGTGGCACTCCCAGGGGTGCCAACTTTCAAGAAAAAAAATCGAGAATGCGAAGAAAGGTCAAATAGCAGAAATACCAGTAACTGTAAGCATACCTACGTTTTAAAAACAACAATTTCGTAATCCTTGGCTCTTTCTCTATGAAATTCTAGTATGTTAGAGCTGAAAGCTTGTTGAATATGTAAAAAAATACTTGACACTCTCAGAAGTGCCGATTTTTGGGAAAAATAATTAAGAACATGAATAATGGTCAAAAAGCAGAAATATCAGTAAGTGTACTCATACGTTTCAAAAATCACAATTTCGTTATCCTTGACTCTTTCTTTATGAAATTTTAGTATTTTAGAGCTGAAAGCTTGTTGAATATGTAAAAAAATACGTGACACTCCCAGGATTGCCAACTTTCAAGAGAAAAAATCGAGAATGCGAAGAAAGGTCAAATAGCAGAAATATCAGTAACTGTACGCATACGTTTTAAAAACAACAATTCCGTAATCCTTGGCTCTTTTTCTATGAAATTCTAGTATGTTAGAGCTAAAAGCTTGTTGAATATGTAAAAAAATACTTGACACTCTCAGAAGGGCCGATTTTTGGGAAAAAAAATTAAGCATGTGAGTATAGGTCAAATAACAGAAATATCAGTTACTGTACTCATACGTTTGAAAAATCACAATTTCGTAATCCTTGGCTCTTTCTCTATGAAATTTCAGTATGTTAGAGCTAAAAGCTTCCTGAATATGCGAAAAAATACGTGACACTCCTAGGGGTGCGAACTTTTGGGGAAAAAAATCGAGAATATGAATAAAGGTCAAACAACAGAAATATCAGTTACTGTACTCATACGTTCGAAAAATCAGAATTTCCTAACCCTTGGCTCTTTCTCTATGAAATTTTAGTATGTTAGAGGTAAAAGCTTGTTGAATATATAATAAAATATTTTGGGGAAAACAATCGTGTATAAATTTTATTTAATTTATAGGAACAAAAACCCATAGAAGCTTCAAACAGAATCACATTTGAAAATGACAATACTTTGATGAGATTCAATAATACTCTTGTAGAAGATGAAGGTGTTTATCGTTGTGTAGCCACAAATTCACAAGGACTGGCTTTCAAAGAAGCCCCTCTAAAATTTAAAGGTAACTATTATTAAAAAGTATTTTTCAATTATTAAAACTTGTTTCTAGATAAGCCTGTATCAGTAGCAATTTACTATTACATTACTGGTGTCATTGGATTGCTTTTACTTGGAGCTATTATTTATATTATTATTGCTAGACGAAAAGAGAGGGTATGAGCTTATATTGACATAGCTTTCCAATTAATATCCTGATTTTGTAGCAATTACGTCACGAATTAAAATTACTAGGCCTGGAAAATTTCCACAAAGGCAGCCCGGAAAATCTCAACCCAGAATTGGGTATCGACGATCAAGCCGAACTATTGCCTTACAATAAAAAATTCGAATTTCCCATAGAGCAATTGAAGATTGGTAAGCAATTGGGTTCTGGTGCTTTTGGTGTAGTGATGAAAGCAGAAGCTACAAGGATAATCGAAGGAGAAGCTAAAACTATTGTAGCTGTTAAGATGGTTAAAAAGAATGCTGATCAAAGCTACATAAAAGCTTTGGCATCTGAGCTAAAAATAATGGTGCATTTAGGCAAGCATATCAATGTTGTCAATATTCTTGGAGCTTGTACCAAAAACGTAGCAAAACGTAATGTAACTTAATTATTGTATTATAAATTTAGCTAAAATAGGTTCTTTTATAGGTGAATTATTAGTTATTGTAGAATTTTGCCGCTATGGCAATTTACAAAATTATTTATACAAACATCGAGAAAGTTTTATAAATCAAGTTGACCCATCTAATGGGTCGATTGATTACAATATTGGAGCTGATATTTTGGAAAGATCTTATTCTGTTTCAAGTGACAATGGGTAAAAATAATATACTTACTACATAATATAATATAATATACACAAATTTAACTTGTAGAAGTCTGTATCCTAGATCTTCTTCCATATTACGCTCTCACAGAGGCAGATCCAACACAACTCTAAGTCAAAATACTCAAGTCACTTCAGTGGGTGACGACAGCGTAATTTTAAGTAACAACAGCACTCAACAGCCAGAATGGCGATTGAATTACAAGGGCGATTATCGTGGCGATGTCAGACCGATATCTACAAGAGATTTGGTTGCTTGGTCGTTCCAGGTAGCCAGAGGTATGGAATATTTGGCTTCCAGGAAAGTGCTTCATGGAGATTTGGCTGCCAGGAATATTTTGCTGGCCGATAATAATATCGTTAAAATTTGCGATTTTGGTTTGGCCAAGACCATGTATAACGATAATAATTATAAGAAGACGAGCAATGTAAGTAAAATTTCGTTGTATTTAATACCCAGAAATCTAATTTATAGAATTATTCAATGAAACACTTATAAATTATATGGCCTTTTGGTATAACCAACGCCCCTGCAACTTGTCAACTTATAGTTGATACTATACTATACTGCCCTCATCTAATTAAACCTCAGCTCCTAAGATAAACTGACACATTTTGCAGGTAAATATCTTTAAAACGAGAAAAGGTAACAATATGCGAATTGTTCACCTTATACTTCAAGCAATCCGAGGAACTTCAAACTTCCAGGATTCACAGATATCACTTAAATGCAATAAAATCATACAAAATTTCTATTAATTCACTCAGACAGATTTTCCAGTTGCATCTTAACTTCACAAGAATTAAAAATATGCTTTCTTTGACTCAGAAATTGGATTCTTTGATTCAATTCTGATCCCTTTGCGAAGGTCAGGACTTGCAGTTTCTTTCTTCAAGTCCAGTTTCAGGAAGAAATTAGCCTTATTTTAAAATAATTCAATTGAACTTTGATCCCAAACCCCTTGACTCAGAAATTATTGCAGTTTTGTGGTTCTTTAAGCTCTGTTTCAAACCTGAGAATAGGAAAAAATTAGCTTTTCAAGACACTCCAATTGAACTTTGATCCCACACTCTTTTGACTCAGAAATTGGATTTTCTAATTTAGATCTCTTTGTGAAGTCCGGAGAAATTACAGTTTTTTACTTCTTTAGTGAAATTTTAGACCTAAGAATGGGAAAATATGAGCTCTTTTTTGAAACATTCCAATTGAACTTTGATCCCTGACTCTTTATTTCAGTTTTAGCCCTGAGAATATAGGAATTTGAACTTCTCTAGTTGGGTTTCGGTTTCAGGCCCGAGAAGAGGGGGGGCTGGACGGGACAAATTCCTGGGGCCCGTAAGGCCTGGGGGGCCCGGGTTATACGTTTAAATTTTGCTTTACAAGTGTCACATTGAAAAGGATGAATAACGCCTTTTCGATTAAATTTCGCTTTACAAGTGTCTCATTCAAAAGGATAAATATCCAAATGTGTCGAAATGTGATCCTTTAGATTGCCTTTTTGTTTGAATTTTGCTTTGCAAGTATCACATTCGAAAACACAAATATTCGAATATTTCAAGCTTGTTTCGGTCTTAAATACAGTATTGCAAATAAAACATTGGAACTTTCTAATAACAAACAAATTCCCGGGGCCCGTAAGACCTGGGGGGCCCGAATTATACGTTTAAATTTTGCTTTACAAGTGTCACATTCAAAAGGATGGATAACGCCTTTTTGTTTAAATTTGGCTTTACAAGTGTCACATTCAAAAGGATAAATATCCAAATGTGTCGGAATATGATCCTTCAAATTGGTTTTTCGTTTAAATTTGGCTTTGCAAGTATCACATGCAAAAGAATAAATATCCAAGTGTATTAAAATGTGATCCTTTAGATTGCCTTTTTGTTTGAATTTCGCTTTGCAAGTGTCACATTCGAAAAGACAAATATCCGAATGTGTAATTGAATGATATTTCAAGCTTGTTTCGGTCTTAAATACAGTATTGCAAATAAAACATTGGAACTTCCTAATGACCAAAAAATTAACGGGGCCCGTAAGACCTGGGGGGGGCCGGATTATACGTTCAAATTTTGCTTTACAAAATCACATTCAAAAGCATGGATAACGCCTTTTCGCTTAAATTTCGCTTTACAAGTGTCACATTCAAAAGGATAAATATCCAAATGTGTCGGAATATGATCCTTCAAATTGGTTTTTCGTTTAAATTTGGCTTTGCAAGTATCACATGCAAAAGAATAAATATCCAAGTGTATTAAAATGTGATCCTTTAGATTGCCTTTTTGTTTGAATTTCGCTCTGCAAGTGTCATATTCGAAAAGACAAATGTTCGAATGTGTAATTGAATGATATTTCAGGCTTGTTTCGGTCTTAAATACAGTATTGCAAATAAAACATTGGAACTTCCTAATAACAAACAAATTCCTGGGACCCGTAAGACCTGGGGGGCCCGGATTATACGTTTAAATTTTGCTTTACAAGTGTCACATTGAAAAGGATGAATAACGCCTTTTCGCTTAAATTTCGCTTTACAAGTGTCACATTCAAAAGGATAAATATCCAAATGTGTCGAAATGTGATCCTTTAAATTGTTTTTTAGTTTAAATTTGGCTTTGCAAGTATCACATGCAAAAGAATAAATATCCAAGTGTATTAAAATGTGATCCTTTAGATTGCCTTTTTGTTTGAATTTCGCTCTGCAAGTGTCATATTCGAAAAGACAAATGTTCGAATGTGTAATTGAATGATATTTCAGGCTTGTTTCAGTCTTAAATACAGTATTGCAAATAAAACATTGGAACTTCCTAATAACAAACAAATTCCTGGGACCCGTAAGACCTGGGGGGCCCGGATTATACGTTTAAATTTTGCTTTACAAGTGTCACATTGAAAAGGATGAATAACGCCTTTCGCTTAAATTTCGCTTTACAAGTGTCACATTCAAAAGGATAAATATCCAAATGTGTCGAAATGTGATCCTTTAAATTGTTTTTTAGTTTAAATTTGGCTTTGCAAGTATCACATGCAAAAGAATAAATATCCAAGTGTATTAAAATGTGATCCTTTAGATTGCCTTTTTGTTTGAATTTCGTTTTGCAAGTGTCACATTCGAAAAGAAAAATATCCGAATGTGTAATTGAATGATATTTCTAGCTTGTTTGTGTCTTAAATACAGTATTGCAAATAAAACATTGTAACTTCCTAATAACAAACAAATTCCCGCGGCCCGTAAGACCTGGGGGGTCCGGATTTTAATAAGGAGGGATTAAAAAAAAAGAAAGAGGGAGGCCCGTTATTATTTATTTGGGGAACCGAAAAAAGGCCCGGTATTATTATTTTTTTTACCGGGGCCCGACCCAGCTCTCGGCGGCCCTGTTCGGTTATACAAGTTGGAAAATCATGTTTTTGAGCAACCTCATCTCCCTAATAGTCATAAAAATAGAGTAATACAAATTAATTTTTTTTTCCAGAATCCTTTGCCAGTAAAATGGATGGCAATAGAATCCATAAGAGACCGAGTATTCTCCACACAATCCGACGTATGGTCCTACGGCATAGTCCTATGGGAATTTTTCTCTTTAGCTAGAACCCCATATCCAGGCATGGAAGTCGACGAACGCTTATACCATAAACTCGTCGAAGGATTCAGAATGGAATCTCCTATTTACGCGCCATCAGAAATGTACAAAATTATGTTAGATTGTTGGAACATAAAGCCATTATCCAGGCCATCTTTTACGAAGTTAGCCGAAACTATTGGGGCCCATTTAGAAGACAGTGTACGAAAGCATTATGTTGATTTGAATGACCCTTTTAGAAAAATGAACATTGATAATGTGGAAAATGATTATTTAGGCATGTTAAGCCCTCCGTCTTTTGATGTGCTTTCCACTCCTGCGCCTCATTACGTTAACGCAGAAATTTTTGAATCTCCAAAACCTTACATTTTTATGGGGGCAAATAATAAAAATAATGCTGAAAATGTTTTCAATTTTCAAAGAAGCAATAAGGATTTAAAAACCGGTAATGTTGTTGATTTTGCTATATTATGGTTTTTATATAGGTGACAACATTTTAGGTCAAGAGTTGAGACCCATGCTGAATTCAAATAACGAATCATCGGATAGTGAAACTGGTTACTTGACTCCAATAACGCCATCGAATAGCATTTCGAATCCTACTTATCTTCAAATGACTAGTCCAGAAGTGCCAGATAATTACGTCAAGTTGCCTCAGTACAAAGACCTTGTAAATAGTACTAGTAAAAATAGTGCCAATAATTATGTGAATGATTGGAAATCTACAGAAGTTTGAACAAAAATGTGTGCCATTTTTTTTTGGAGCATCGATCAAAGATCTCTTATGTTATTTATAAGTAATGTAATATAGTTTATATTTTGTTTTAAATAATTATTTGTACCTATAGTTTATTTCATATAATATCAGCATTAAAAACAGGTATTCCTTTAGTTTTAAGGTTGGTTACAGCAAAAACACTTCCAGCAGCTGGTGATTTCAATTTTTCTTCTTCACTCAATGATATTCTAGAAGTAGTCACAAATAGAATGTCTAAGTTAGGACCACCCCACATTACTGATGAAACATCTCTTGCTGGGATAGCTATTGTCTATAAGTGAAAATGGCTTAAACAAATCTCATGGAATATAATCGAAAGTTACCTGTAAAAGTTCTCCGCTAGTTGGATTGACTTGAATTACACAACCTCCACCATAAAGGGCGACCCACAAGTTATCATTTTCATCGATAGCCATTCCATCAGGACTACCAGCGAGTTCTGGATGATATTTTAAATCAAACACTACACGATGGTTTGAAATTGAACATTTTTCCAAATCAAAATCATAGCCGGCAACCTGAAAATAATAACTGTGCGAACTTCTGATGGCCAGAAATAGTTATATTTTTTTGAATATATAAATGAATGCGTCATTTATGAAGATGTGATTAATATATATGTCAAGCCAAAGAATAATAATATTTGCCAGACACTCATTATCGTCAAGAAAACAACAAGTTGGTGAGTCTATAGATCAATATTTACAAGCCCTGAAGCTCATGAGCAAGACTGCAATTTTGAAGCTAGTCAATGCAGATCAAAATAGGGACAATTACATCAGAGGATACTTTCATAACTGGTCTTACTTCTTCTCATATAAGACAGAGGCTTTTGGAACATTGTACTTTGAGCTTAACACAAGCATTTGATACTACTAGATCACTTAAAATGGTTCAGCAACATGCCGAATCTTATCTTACACCATTCTGTTCAAATATGAATGCTGCGATCTCTCATCAAACTCAATTATTTTTCTTCGAACATACACTTGTGATTATGTTACAATGATCATGAACATTGACCTTCAGTTGAGAGTCACTTTAGAATTTTTTGACTTGATATCTCACAGTTCTCAGTATAGAGTCTTCAGTCTCTACATGATTGACTCAAAGGTCTTAATTCTTTTGAGTATCAAAATGGCCTTTTGAACCAAAAGAAATTAGAATTGTTAGTCTTGACCGCAGTATCTGAAGTTGAGTCTTTCTAAAATATTCAATACAAGCTCCCGAGTCTTTAAAGTCAATAGAATCTTGTCTCAGAGTTTCCAGTACTGAGTCTTCGTAACTTCTCATTTCGTCTCTTCCGAGTGTCAGAATTGACTCTTGAACCAATAATTTTGACTCAAGTGTCCTCAGAATTGTAAGTTTTAACTCTAAGTCTTAACTGCATTTGGAGTTGAGTCATTTTAAAATCTTTGAATTTGATTTTTCATAGTCTTCAGTGTGAAGTCTCAAGTTTTCAGAGTCTCTAGAATCTCGACTCAGGAGCTGATATTTTAAAATCGAAAACCTTGTCATTTTCGTGTATTAGAATTGGAACATCGTGACTCAAAGATCCACAGAATTGTGATTATTGACTGTTACAATAAACCAAGAATTTTGACTCAAAATGTCCTTAGAATTGTTATTCTTCAACTACAGCTCCTGGTAGTTGAATCATTTCAAAATCTTCGAAATTGATTTTCCATGTATGTATAGTCTCAAGTTTACAGACTCTCTCAAATCTTGACTAAGGAGTTGATGTTTTAAAATCAAAAAACTTTTCTTTTTCTTGTGTCTCTCGTGTGATAGTGAGAGTCTCTAAAATCGAACATTTTGAGCAAGAGGTAAGTTTTTGTACAACAGATTTCGGTTTTAGGGGAAGTCATGAATGATTTTCTCTGATTTCTTCTGATTACCAGTAAGATTGCACAAGAGTTCTCCTGACCTCAAATTATAAAGATTTTTGAAAACTGCGTATGCGTTAAAACTAGAGATTTACTGATCTCCTTAACGTTTCCTATGATTTCCTTAAGATTTTCTCCCGAGTTTTTTAAGATTTTCCTTGATTTCCTTATGATTTCTGCTGATTGCTTTAGATTTCCTCGGATTTCCTCTTAATGATCCCTAATTTGTATACCAGATTTCTCCTAAAGGGTTTATTGCCCTTTGTAGATATTTTCTCTATTTCAGGCTCTTGAATTGTCTCAATTTTAGGAAATTTGCAGAAATTCAACAGCCAAGAATAGACAAAAATTGAGAGAATTATAATGGGAATTGAAAATTGAGAAAAATTTCAAGAGAAACTGGTTGACAAGTGAATATAAGTATTTTCTCTATTCCAGGCTTTTGAAATCTCTCAATTTAGAGGAAATTCGAAAGAAATTCAACAGAGCATCAGGTCAGTACACCAGATTGCGGTTTCAGAGGAAATCATGGATGATTCCTATGATTTCCTCTGACTTCTCAAGATTTCCCCTGATTTCTTCCGATCATCAGTAAGATTGCACAAGACCCTGACTTCGAATTATAAAGATTTTTGAAAACTGCGTATCTATGCGTTAGATCTAGAGATTTCTTTAAGATTTCCTCCGAGTTCTTTAAGACTTCCGTTGATTTTTCTCATGGTTCCCTTAATATCCTGATTGCCTTAAATTTTCTCGGATTTACCCCTTATTTCTTAAGATTTCCCTTGATTTCCTTATGATTTCCTCTAATTTCCTTATAATTTTCCCCGATTGCCTCAGATTTCTTCGGATTTCTTCTTGATTTCCTCTCATTTGTATACACCAGATTTCCCTCGATTTAGAGTCAGACACACAGAATTGTGATTCTTGACTGTTAAAGAGTCTTCAATATTGAATCTTTGGGGTTTCCAGAATATGAGACTCTTGTCTTGTCTAAATTTCAATATTAACTCTTGAACTTTACTGCCAAAATGTCTCTAGAATTGACCGCAGTTTCAAAATCTTCAAGCTTGATTTTTTATAGTTTTCCATGTGAACTGAACTCAAGTTTTCATCAGAGTCTTGACTTAGAGTTTCCCAAAAGAGATTATGAAATCAGAAATCTTGACTTTTATTAACTGTAGAACTAAACAGTCGCAAAATAGAGATTTTTTCATTTCACTCTCAGCGATCTTCAATATTGAGTATTTGGGGGTTTTTAGAATAATATGAGACTTTGAAGACAAGAGTTTTGTCTCTTTCAAGTTTCAATATCAACTCTTGAACCAAGAATTTCAACTCAAAAGTCTCTCCAATTTTAAGTCTCAATTGTATAGAATATATTTGCAGTCGAGTTATTTGTAAATCTTCGGAATTGATGTTTCATAGTTTTCAGTACGAATTCCCGAGTCTAGTGACTCGGGAATCTTGACTTGGAGTTTTCAGTATTGACTCTTTGTAGTTTCTCTGAGATTTTAAAATCGGAAATTTTGTCTCTTCTGAATATCAAAATTCTCTTGAACCAAAAATTGTGACTCAAATATCCTTATGATTGTTAGCTTGGACTGCGTATCTACTGAGATTTCAAAATCTTAAGATTCCTGATTGCTAAGAATGTTCAATATTGACTCTCTGGGGTTTTCAGAATATAAAACTCGGAAGACCAGAATCTTGTCTCTTTTGAGTGACAGTATTGAGTCTAGAACTAAACATTTTGACTCAAAGATTCTCAGAATTGAGGTTCTTGACTGTTAAAGAATCTCCAATATTGATATCTTTGAGGTTTCGAGAACATGAGACTTTAAAAACTAGAATCTTATCTGTTTCGATTTTCAATATTAATTCTTGAACCAAAAATTTTGACTCAAATGCCCTTAGGATTGCTAATCTTGACTGCAGTATCTACTGTTGAGAGATTTCAAAATCTTGAGATTTTTGATTGTTAAGAGTCTTCAATATTGAGTCTTTGAACTATTCAGAATATGAAACTTCAAAGACGAGAATCTTGTTCCTTTCGAGTTTCAATATCAACTTTTGAGCAAACAATTTTGACTCAACAACCCTCCATGTCATAGCTGTATAGGTATCTACAGCTGAGTCATTTTTTATAGTTTTCAGTACTAATTCTCGAGTCACTAGAATCTTCAGTTTTAAGTCTATGTAGTTTCTTTAATCTGATCTTTAAAAATTGGAAATCTTATCTGTTTCCAGTATCAGAATTGACTCATGAACCAAAAATTTAGACTTAAATGACGTTAGAGTTGTTAGTCTTGGACTGTAGTAGTATCTACAGTGGAATAATTTCAAAATATTCGAGCTTTCAGTCATAGTTTTCAGTGTGAAGTTCCAATTTTTCTTGATTATTTTTGATTCAAAAGCTGAGATGTTAATCTCGGAAGTCTTGTCAGTTTTAATTGTCAGGATTGCAGAATCATACATCTTGAGACAAGGATTCAGTGCATTGTGATTTTTGACTGTACCTACCTAATATTGAGTCTTTCTTCTTTGAGTTTCAATATTTACTCTTGAATCAGGAATTTTAACTCAAAATTCTTCCGATCGTGAGTTTTGATTGACTCAGACTTTCCATTCTTTATAGTTTCTCGAATCTGAGATTTTAAAATTGAGAATTTTGTCTTTTTTGAGAGTCAGAATTGGCTTTTGGACTGAATATTTTGACTCAAAAAGTCTTCGGAATTTCTAGAATCTTAATCCATTACCATAGTAGTGAAGGAAGAACACCCCCTCGAGGATACCCTCTGACCGTGGTAGCGGTAGCTGATGCTCCGTTTATTTCAGACCATCCACTTTACGTATACCTACTTGGTTTTTGCCTCTAGAAACTTTGAGGGCTGTAAATTGCTATATTTATTATGACTTTGTTAGTAAGAAGAGTCTCTCAGAGCAATTTCCAACCATGATTCAAGAGCAAGAAGAACCTCTTACTTTTACTTATGGCTTCTAAATCTAGAAACAAAAACATTCACTTTTTGAATATATTATTATGCTTTAAAACTTCTGAGGGCCAGAAATATAGCTATGTATATGAGAGAACTTTAATTATTAAAGAGCAAAGGGCCTCCCGAAGCAAATTTCAATTTTGAAAGTCCTGTAAAACAATATCAACTTCTTATGGTGAAATACCCAGGCGAATAAACCCTATAATTACCTGATTACTATTAGTATCGATATAAAACAGCTGATCATTGGCTGCATTCCAAGCTAAGCCATTACTATTATTAACCGGAGCTATTTCAACAGAAGGATTTTCCAAATTCTCTTTGGTAACTTTGTAAAAGACTCCTTCGTCCGGGCTAAGTACTCCGTTGACCCAAGGACCCACAGTACCTAATATAATTTAATGAATTCACAATGGATTTTTTAAAATTTACACAAATTACCTATCCATAATCTTCCCTTTTTGTCAGCTTTTCCATCATTAAACCTGCTTCCCGGAAATTGCTGGGATACAGTTGAAATTACTTTTGTTTGCACTAGTTCATTGGTTCCATCCCATTCTAAAGCAACCAAATCCCTATTCAATCCAACTAGCAATAAATTTTCATCAAGTGTCAGTATCACCGGAGTGACTTCTCCATTCAAAGTTACATGATTGACTTCTCTGGTGTTGTAATTGTAGCTGAAAACTCTTCCAGTAAGAATGTCAACGTAGAATAAGATGTTTTTACGTCCGTCCCAAATTGGGCCTTCCGCCAAGTCAACCGGTTCAGTTATTTGAGTCACAGCGGGAAGATCGGAATTTGATCCACTTGAAAAAATAGAAAAATTGATTTTAAATAAAACACTTGGACTAAAATATTAAAGAACTTTTCCATGCCATATTTTCCAATTTTAATTTACCTGTTGCTTCCTCAATAAGATTATTAGTTACTGTATCTCGTTTAGAGATTTTGCAGTACCTGCAGCACCACCACTGAGGGCTCCTAAAGCACTGATTCCAGCAAAGAGAGAGAAAATTTATGTTGAAAACATTAAAAGCTGTAAGTACTTAACTATGAAATAATGAGTGAGCAGATGTCCTAAATGAAAACTACTTACACAAATTGGTTTTTTATATATTAAACACAGAGGTTACTTACTTTGTAAAGGCAATTATGCCTACCAGAACACACAAAAATTTCAACATTTTTCATGCCATATTTTTAGGTACTTTTGAACATATTATATATAGTTCAAATCAATGTCCTTTAGAATCGTTATCGTTATCATGACAATAATAGTATTTTTAATAAACAAGTTCTTGATGGTTCTTATGAGTGGATGACAGCATCATGATTAGGATTTTATTTTGTTATATTATTTTAATGAATATTGGAAAAATCTTTTCCTATCATAAATAAAAAGCTAAAATTTTCAGCGATTCAATCCTGAAATACACTACTAGAAAGAACATTAAATTCTCTGTAAATCTGTGTTAAATTGAGTTTGATAGCTCAAATACTTTTTGAACAATGCAATGGAGCCTCAAAGTTGAATTTTAGTCGAAAACTTCAATTCAAACCTAATTTTCTCAAAAACTATAAACCTGAAAATATTGTCCCATACAGGTTTTTCAGCCTAATGTGGCGACCCCAAAAATTTCGAGGTGCTAAAATCCCAGAAAATATAACTAAACTCAATTGGTTAAAGCATTTTTGTAGTCATTTTAATTAGAAAAGTACCTACGTCAGTTGCAAGATAATTTAATCTCAACTTATTAAATCTCCTAGCAATCCAGCATCTTATTCCGTATAAAAATGGTATAAATAAAAAATGACGATTTTTTTTACCAACACAAGCGATAAGCGACCGGATGTCAAAGTTCGATGTCCCCAATTAATAGACTCTTGCGACATTCCGATTTTAAAAAAAAAGTCAATAAAAAATTATAAAATTAGGACGCGTTTAACCGGAAATCACTATACTCAAGTGATTTAATTGCGTCATAACTTATAAACTACAACCCCGGTGTTTCCGTTGGATGTTGCATCATATCCTAAGTAAAAAACAATTCTTGGAAAACAACAATGTCGTTTATCACTCGATAAACGAGGTCAAATAAGAGGATTGGTTCGAGAAATGCTAAATGACCGCCCACGCAATAGATTTTTGGTGGGAATTGAGTACTATTCAGTATCAGAAAAAAGGATAGATAACATCCAGCAGTTGATTTGATAGTATAAGATTTTAAGAATCAAGAAAATTGGCAGTGAGTGGAGTCTCCACCAGTCGTGTCGTGTCGTGTGCCTAGGTTGTGCTGAATTCTTAGGCTGAATTCTCCTAATTGATAGTGCTGATTTAGTAAATAAAATATGTATGAAAACTATTATACAGTTGTTTCTCTCATTTGCAAATAGACCCCCTTCAGTCTTCACCACTTAATTTTGTAGTAACCCGAGGAAATAAACCACATCAAATAGAACCGCTCTCCATTTACCATCTAAGTAATTAATAGAATACATGGGTGGATCACTACACTAAATAAACTAGGGATTGGGTGTATGTACAGAACCAAAAAAGAAACATAATTAAGATATAACATTTATTATTTAATAATTAAACTCTAATTAAACTTTTATTAATAGTCCACCATTAAAACTATTTTGTATTATAATAGTCAGTGTTTGGTTGAATTTAATTTTTTCATTTGGAAACTTAGGAAAAATTCACTTTAAGACTGGATTTGCGAATTTCTCCCGTTTCAAAAAAATTAAATAGGGCCTTCATCGTCACATATAATCTCCTAAATTGCTATAATTTAGGGGAAAATTCAAGGAAAATATGGTTTTATTTTTGCCAAAAATCGAGTGTAATAATTGTTTTTACACTCACTTACACGCATTTATTTATGTGAGTATATTATTATAATCTACTTAAAAATGTCTTTGACTTATAAATATAGAATTAACCTTAGTTCGTAGCCAAAAGTCAATGATATTAAATTCCATCCTTTCTCCAACTAGAACATATTGTTACCCTTCTTGGCAGCTACAGGTAACTTTTCCCCCATCAAAAACGGATTCGTTCTCGGACTTTGTTCATGATGATACTTTTTAGCCACCAAATTCTTCTGAGGAAAACCTTGCTTCAAAGATTGCTGAAGCAATCTCCCAAAATCCACCCTAGCAATATCCATAGAGTCAGAATTTCCATTGCTAGGACAATCGAACATGTGCTCAGTATCGCACATGCAATCCTGCAACGCTTGGTAACTTCTGCTGAACGAAGCTGTGTTTTCGAAATCTTCCAAACATCCTTGGTCTTCGGTGTAGCCCACTGGACAAGGATTGGGCGGGTTGCAGTAGGCCGGCAACGAGGCGTCGGTTTTGATTTCTTGCTTGGTTATTTTCAGGCCTGGTCCTAGGATTTGGTTGCCGTCGCCTGCGCCGCCTGATATGTACTGGTTGCCCCACAAACTGCTGTGTTGCATGTATTCTTGGTCTCTGATACTGGGGTACATGTTGACGTCTCTGGAATATTTAAAAGTTTTAGTAAAGAAAGGATGACACTTATTTTCAAAAAAGCAAAATTGGTAAATGGCAAAGTTAAGAAGAACATTGGAAGTATTCAATAAGTCAACTTCTTCTCATAAATAATTGGTTTTGACTTGGATACTATTTCTGAAAAATATGAGCATTTATAATAGAGTGGGCAAGATTGATCTGATGGATGGCCAACAGAGATTGACGACAATGAAAATAACAAAGATAATGAAGATGCTGACAATGATGAGAAGAATGAGGATGAAAATGAAAAAAAAAAGTAGATGAAGAAGAGGATGAAGCCCCAGCCCAAATCATTACGTAGGAGTGAAGACATAAAAGTCATAATAGCTATACTGTGAACTAGGCCAGATTCACCTAGTAAAAACGACTGGATTTGAACAATATCAAGATCACATTTCTCACAATCTAATGTTAAAGCTAGAAATGCTGTAGACGATAATTTGAAAATGTGGAAAAAGAAATATTTGGGAGAATTGCATATGAAAATTCAACTACAAAAGTTGAAAATACTATTTCTGGCTCTAGAAGAGGAAAACTTTCACTAGAAATATATAAACTTTTGAACTCTGGCCATTATTGAGTCAAAATTGAGCTAAAGTTGATTTGAAAGCTCATTTTGAACTTGTCCACTGGTTTTATGCTGGTTTACACTAATTTGGTGCAGAATTTCACAAAACCAGCACAAAAGCAGCAAAATCCAGAAACCTATTTTTCGAGGGTATCGAAAAAGTTCCCAGGCTCAAGTTTTGTGCAAAATTTCACTAAACCAACTAAACCAGCATAAAACCAGTGAAAAGCAGCAAAATTCAACACAAACGCAGCAAAATTTGTTGATTTTGCCACGGTATCGAAAAAGTTCCCAGGCTCAGGGCCACTTGAAAACATGGAAATCCAACTGAAAAAGCTTAAAATTCCTATTACTGGCTGTAGAAGAGCAAAACTTGCACTAGAAATGTATACACCTCCAAACCCTGGCCGCTGGCCATTTCCGGGTCAAAATTGATCCAGAGCTCATTTATGAACTTGTTCTGGGACTGATTTTAACCGGAGTAGCTCGGAAATTTATGATCAGCTCTCCTAGAGGTAGAGCAGTAACCATGATTAGAAGGAATTGGTGCTGGCTTTTCTAGAGCTAAAAAATGAACTACAGACACATGGAAATTTAACTGGAAAAACTTGAAATCCTATCATAACAGGCTCTAAAAGTTCAAAAATTACATAAGAAATGTGTAAACCTCTGATCTTTAGCCATTTTTGAGTCAAAATTGAGCTAGAACTTACTTGAAGGCTCATTTTTGAACTTGTTATAGAGCTGATTTTAACCGGAGAAGCTTGGGAAGCTATGGCAGTAGGTATAGGGTAAACTTTCTGGATTCCGTGGGAAAATCGGAGGATTTTGCTGGTTTTGTGCTGGATGTTGCTGGGTTTTCACTGGTTCAATGCAGAACTTCACAAAATCAGCTAAACCAGCATAAAACCATTAAAAACCAGGGAAATCCAGCACAGACCCAGCAAAATCCGCCAATTTTCCCACGGTATCGAAAAAGTTCCCAGGCTCAAGTGACCCCTTATACCTACTTATGAGCTAAAATATGAAATACAAACACAAGAAACTCCAACTGAAAAAGCTTAGAAATCCTATTACTGGCTCTAGAAGCTCTAGAAACTTGCACTAGAAATGTATGAACCTCCAAATCCTGGCCATTTCTGAGTCAAAATTGATCCAGAGCTCCTTTTTGAACTCTTTCTAGCGCCGATTTTAGCCGGAGTAGCTTGGAAATTTACGATCAGTTCTTCTAGACGTAAAGCAATAACTATGATTGAGGAGTTGATGTCAGAAACACATGGAAATCCTACTGAAAAACCTTAAAAATCCTATTACTGGCTGTAGAAGAACAAAACTTGCACTAGAAATAAGAAAGAATAAACCTCCAAATCCTGGCCATTTCTGAGTCAAAATTGATCCAAAGCTCATTTTTGGACTGGTTCTAGGGCTGATCAGTTCTTCTAGAGGTAGAGTAAAGGAGTAATAACTATGATTGAAGAAGTTGATGTCAGCAAAAATATGAGCAACAAACACATGGAAATTCAAACTGAAAAAGCTTAAAAATCCTATTACTGGCTCTAAAAAAGCAAAGCTTGCACTAGAAATGTATAAGTCTCCAAACCCTGGTCATTTCTGAGTCAAAATTGATCCAGAGCTCATTTTTGAACTTGTTCTAGGACTGATTTTAACCGGAGTACCTTGGAAATTCATGACCAGTTCTTCTAGAGGTAGAGCATTTACCACAGCTTATTGATCCAGAGCTCATTTTTGAACTTGTTCTAAGGCTGATTTCAACCGGAGTAGCTTAGAAATCCATGACCAATTCTCCTAGAGGTAGAGCATTAACTATGATTAATGGAGTTGATGTCAGCTAAAATATGAACTACAAACACATGGAAATCCAACTGAAACAGCTTCAAAATCCTATTTCCGGTTCAAAAAATAGAAAAACAAAATTTGCACTAGAAATGTATAATAAACCTTGGCCATTTCTGAGTCAAAATTGATCCAGAGCTCATTTTTGAACTTGTTCTAGGGCTGATTTTAGCCAGAGAAGCTTGGAAATCTATAATAGTAGGTATAGGGTCACTTGAGCCTAGGAACTTTTTCAATAACGTGGGAAAATCGGCGGATTTTGCTGGTTTTGTACTGGATTTTACTGCTTTTCACTGGTTTTATGCTGGTTTTCACTGGCTTAGTGCAGAATTTCACGAAACCAGTTAAATCAGAGGTAGAACAATAAAAGGGATTAGTGCCAGCTTTTCTAAAGCTGAACTATAGAAATTCAACTGGAAAAACCTAAAAACCCTATTACTGACTTTAGAAGAACAAAACTTGCACTAGAAATGTATAAACCTCCAAACCCTGGCTATTCTGAGTCAAAATTGATCCAATTTTGAATTTTTTCTAGGGCTGCGTTTAACCGGAGTAGCTTGGAAATCTTTCACCAGTTCTTCTATAGGTAGAGCAATAACTATGATTAAAGGAGTTGATGTCAACTAAAATATTAACCACAAACACATATAAATTCAACTGACAACGCTTAAAAATCCTATCACTGGTTCTAGAAAAGCAAAACTTGCATTATAAATATATATTTCTGAGTCAAAATTGATCCAGAGCTCATTTTCGAACTTGTTCCAGGGCTGATTTTAACCGGAGTAGCTTGGTAATTTATGACCAGTTCTTCAATAACTATAATTAAATTAGTTGATGTCAGCTAAAATATGAACTACAAACACATGGAAATCCAACTGAAAAAGCCTAAAAATCCTATTACTGGCTCTAGAAGAGCAAAAGTTGCACTATAAATATATAAACCTCCAAGCCCTGGCCATTTCCTAGTCAAAATTGATCCAGAGCTCATTTTTGAACTTGTTCTAGGGCTGATTTCAACTGGAGTAGCTTCGAAATTTATGACCAGTTCTTCTAGAGGTAGAGCTTTAACTATAATTAAAGGAGTTGATGTCGGCGAAAATATGAACTGCAAACAGATGGAAATCCAACGCAAGAAACTTTAAAATCCCATTACTGACTCTAGAACAGCAAGACTTGCACTAGAAATGTAAAATAAACCTCCAAACCCTGGCCATTTCTGGGTCAAAATTGATCCAGAGCTAATTTTTAAACTTGTTCTAGGGCTGATTTTAACCTATGTAACTTGGAAATCTATTACCTTCTAGAGGTAGAGCAATAACTATGATTGAAGGAGTTGGTGTCAGCTAAAATATGAACTACAAACACATGGAAATCCAACTGAAAAAGCTTAAAATTCCTATTACTGGCTCTAGAAGAGCAAAACTTGCACTAGAAATGTATAAACCTCCAAACCCTGGACATTTCTGAGTCAAAATTGGTTCAGAGCTCATTTTTGAACTTGTTCTAGGGCTGATTTTAACTGGAGTAGCTTGGAAAAGTATGATAACTTCTTCTAGAGGTAGAGCAGTAACTAGGATTTAAAGGAATTGGTGCCGGCTTCTCTAGAGGTAAAAAATGAACTACAGATACATAGAAATTCAACTGGAAAAACTTGAAATCCTATCATAACAGGCTCTAAAAGTGCAAAAATTGCATAAGAAATGTGTAAACCTCTGATTTTTAGCCATTTTTGAGTAAAAATTGAGCGGGAGCTGATTTTATAGCTCATTTTTGAACTTGTTGAAGGGATTATTTTAATCGGACAAGCTCAGAAAGCTATGGCAGTAGAGGGTCACACAATAAGTTTCTCGATTCCGTGGGAAAATCGGCGGATTTTGCTGGTTTTGTGCTAGATTTTGCTGGGTTTTCACTGGTTCAATGCAAAACTTCACAAAATCAGCTATACCAGCATAAAACCAGTGAAAAGCAGCAAAATCCAGCACAAACCCAGCAAAATCCGCCGATTATTCCACGGTATCGAAAAAATTCCCAGGCTCAAGTGATCCTATACTTACTTATGACTAGTTCTTCTAGAAATTTAACTGGCAAAACTTATCGGCTCTAGAAGAGCATATCTTACATTAGAAATGTACAAACTTCCAAACTTTTACCATTTTTGAGTCAAAATTGAACATAGTTGATTTGAAAGCTCATTTTTAACTTGTTCTAGGGCTGATTTCAACCGGAGTAGCTTGAAAATCTATGACCGCTTCTTCTAGAGGTAGATTAATACCTATGATTAAGAAAGAGTTCGTCAGCTAAAATTTGCACTACAAACACAAGGAAATCGAACTGAAAAGGCTTAAAAATCTTATTATTGGCTCTAGAAGTGTAAAACTTGCACTAGAAATGTATAAATCTCCAAATTTTGGTCATTTCTGAGTCAAAATTGATCCAGAGCTCATTTTTGAACTTGTTCTAGGGCTGATTTCAACTAGAGTAGCTTGGAAATTTACGATCATTACTTCTAGAGGGTAGAGCAGTAACCATGATGGTAAAAGCACATTTCTGATCCAAGTTTTAGTGAAGTTGAACCAGAGATTCTTGAAAATCTTATGACCTGCTCTCTTAGTGCTGAAATTTTGAATACAATTTTTAATCCCATAGAGAGAGCAATATCTCTGATCATGGAGATATTAGGAGCAATAATTCAGAAGTCAGCTCTCCTAGAGATAAAATTTGAACTAGAAACATGTGTAAATTCAACTGAAGAAGATTGAGAATCCTATCAACATGCAGCTTCACTAGAACAAAAATTGCACTAGAGAAGGTTTTGTGTAGAGAAGTATATAAAACCTCTTGACTATTCTAGATTGAGTTTATTAGAAATCTCATTTTTGACCTTCTTGGAACTGGAATAATAATAGAGAAGCTCTAAAATATTATGACCGAGTCTCCAGAGCTGAATTTGAAAACTTCACTATGACTAAAGCTTTTTTCAGTTTCCTCAAGGACTTGGGCCTAAAAGCTGAAGCTAAAGATACAGATACAATAATAAAACTCTGATAGATTTCAAACCCTAAAGCCTCTAAAGTATTTGATGTAATTTCACTGAAGAGTAAAGTTTATAAAGAAAAACTCCAAGGCTAAAATGTTGAGGCTGATACCCTGATTATGAAACCTTCAAGGAGATGAATTTCAACACACTAAAGTCTGGAGACTTTGAATGTTTGGGCGGATCAAAATGGTTCATTTAAGCAATAATATACTCAATATGAAATTATTTTTCTGGTTTTAAACATATAGGTACTATATCCTAGAATTACAAAATAAACATTAATATTCACCCTAAACTATCATAATCCAAAGGAAACAATTGTTCCTCCTCTAAATCTCTGGCCAAAGCCCTTGTGTCCAAAGGCAAGCCATCGGTCAAATCCAAATAGGAAATATCGCCAGCTGCGTCTTGTTTACCATTGATACGATTTACCAACCCTCGAAGGAATAGCCCAGACAATAAATTATCCTGAAATAACTTATAATTTAATGTCATTATGAAGATGTTAGACAGTTAAGAGCAATTTTTACTTACTTTGTCACCGGGTAAATAGCACACTACCCCGGAAAGGGGTAGAATTAATAAAAAGAAGACTGCGTTCATGTTTTATATCAATCTGGAAGAAAAATCTGTTGTATAAAAGAGTAAAAGACACACCTTTATTGTTAACAATCAACAAGTAAATTGAATACCAAAACAGTGTTTCTGTAACAATTTAAATGATTACTTTACCCTCTAAAAAGGAGTTGATATACAAACACGAACCACAACTTCTTTGCCTGAAAATCGATAAAAGCTTGCGCGATACGCCCTGAATCCTGGAATAACTTTTCCATTTTTCCATCATGTCTGTGACGCAACAGGAATTATGTAAACATTTTTATCAAAAAATCAATTCCTGTAATCATAATTCTATTGCGTATTAGTTAGAATAATTGGTAAAAATGAGGCACATTGAAGGCCGGCAAATTGCAATTTATTCAAATACATATAGGCGGCACACCTTTCTCAAGAAAATTTGCAATGTCACTACATAGATTTAAGTTTAGTATCTTTTATTACGTAGTTGTAACAACATAGTTTTAGTGCAAAATGAGATATTTGGTGAGTTTAATAATAATCTGACGGTCTGTGGGTGTAAAATTTCTTAAAATAAAACGCCATACAAATCATTATAAAATAAAGCACAGAAACGTAAATCCATAAACTGCCGAGAAAATGAAACTTCTTGCCGTGCCAGGCAATCACTGGTTGTTCACAGCCCAATTTGAAAGCTCCTGCATCCACTAAACAAACTTCAGAATTTTCAGTTTTTTCGCAACAACTCCAAAGTACTGTGCCATTATCGACGTAAATAAAAGTACGATTATCAAATAAGCCGCAGCATTGGTAGAATTGATGTACATTGTCCAAAATCTTAAGCGCATAACTGTTGTTGCTTTTATAAAGATGCGTCAAATAATGAATAATATTTTTGTTCTTCACTTGTGGTCCAATTCTAATTCCAGCAGTTCCAAAAATCATTTGCCACGTTAGTAGAACTATACTAACAGCTAGGAGAAGTTCAATCCAATATTCCGGCGATTTTTTGCTGATTAAGTAATACATTGCCAAAGAATAAAGGATATTGAAAACGCCCCATGCTACTATCATAGCTCCGTTGGTTCGATCATAGCGAGAGACTTCATGAATCAATTGTATTCCGAAAATTATGTTGATTATGCCGACTATTAAGACTAGAAGGGTGATACATAGAAATACTATTATCAGGATCCATTTGGTTATGATGAAACTTATAGACGGCATGAGATTTTGAGCTTTGGCATATTTTTGATATTGATTAACTAGTGGTTTTATTGTTGATTTGGTTTGATCACATATTAGATTTGTTCCGACAAAGTTCCAATCAATACGATATTCCAAACTGTTTCCAGATTGGCTCATTTCTTGTTTTGTCCAAGTCAATTCTCACTCTGTTCTCTTGATCGCCTCAGAAAAATTATCTGTGTAATCAAGAGCCAATTGTAATCAAAAACAGGACTATTATCGGCTCTTGACTACCTTTACCTTCAAACAAATTTTTTGGCAAATCCAGAGACATTAGTATTCAATATTTGGAATATTATCGGCACTTGAGAAAAGTTAACCAAAGAATTAAGAGCCGATAATAATGAAAATTTGGATTTCTATTGACACTTGATTCTGTAAGATATTTCAAACTTGTCTCGGCTCATACGAAAAATTCCTAAAAGTTTCCAGATTAGGTCACAGTTGTCACCTCTTTACCTAGAATTTTCACTTTTATCGGCTCTTAACTGCCTTTAGGTACCTTTGAACAAAGTTTCTGGCAAATTTAGAGGCAATAATATTCAATATTTGGAATATTATCGGCATTATCCAACGAATCAAGAGCCGATAATAATGATAATTTGGATTTCTATGGGCACTTGATTCTGTATAAGATATTCCAAACTTGTTTGTAGGAAAAGTTCCAAAAAGTTTCCAGATTGGCTCATAGTTGCCACCCACTTCAGAAAAGATATCCAACAAATCAAGATACTTCAAATGTGTTTGTACTCATTATGAAAAGTTCTAAAATGTTTCCAGAATGACTCATAATTGGCACCCCTTCACGCAGAATTTTCACTTCTATTGGCTCTTGGCTGTCTTTACTTTTCAATACATTTCCCAGCAAATCCAGACACAATATTATTCAATGTTTGGCCTATTACCGGCACTTGAAAAAAATTATCCAACGAATCAAGAGCCGATAATAATGATAATTTGGATTTCTATGGGCACTTGATTGTGTAAAAGATATTCCAAACTTGTTCGTACTCATATGAAAAGTTCCAAAAAGTTTCCAGATTGGCTCATAGTTGCCACACACTTCAGAATAGTTATCCAACAAAGCAAGAGCTGATAATAATGAAAATATGGATTTCAATCGGCACTTGATTCTGTAAGATACTTCAAATGTGTCTGTATTCATTATGAAAAGTTCTAAAAAGTTTCCAGACTGACTCATAATTGGTATCTCTTCACGCATAATTTTCACCTTCACTTTCCAATACATTTTCCAGCAAATCCAGACACTATATTATTCAATGTTTGGCTTATTACCGGCACTTGAAAAAAGTTATCCAACGAATCAAGAGCCGATAATAATGATAATTTGGATTTCTATGGGCACTTGATTCTGTATAAGATATTCCAAACTTGTTTGTACCAATATGAAAAGTTCCAAGAAGTTTCCAGATTGGCTCATAGTTGCCACAAACTTCAGAATAGATATCCAACAAATCAAGTGCCGATAATAATGAAAATATGGATTTCAATCGGCACTTGATTCTGTAAGATACTTCAAATGTGTCTGTACTCATTATGAAAACTTCTTGACACCCCTTCACGCATACTTCTCACTTCTATTGGCTTTTGGCTGCGTTCACTTTTCAATACATTTTCCAGCAAATCCAGACACAATATTATTCAATGTTTGGCCTATTACCGACACTTGAAAAAAGGTATTCAACGAATCAAAAGCCGATAATATTGATAATTTGGATTTCTATGGGCACTTGATTCTATATAAGATATTTCAAACTTGTTTTTACTCATATGAAAAGTTCCAAAAAGTTTCCTGATTGACTTATAGTTGCCACTTACTTCGAAATAGATATCCAACAAATCAAAAGCCGATAATAATGAAAAATATGGATTTCTATCGGCACTTGATTCTGTAAGATACTTCAAATGTGTCTGTACTCATTATGAAAAGTTCTAAAAAGTTTCCAGATTGACTCATAATTGGCATCTTTTTATGCATAATTTTCACTTTCACTTTCCAATACATTTTCCAGGAAATCCAGACACAATATTATTCATTGTTTGGCCTATTACCGGCACTTGAAAAAAGTTATCCAACGAATCAAGAGCCGATAATAATGAAAATATGGATTTCTATCGGCACTTGATTCTGTAAGATACTTCAAATGTGTCTGTACTCATTATGAAAAGTTCTAAAAAGTTTCCAGATTGACTCATAATTGGTATCTCTTCACGCATAATTTTCACCTTCACTTTCCAATACATTTTCCAGCAAATCCAGACACTATATTATTCAATGTTTGGCTTATTACCGGTACTTGAAAAAAGTTATCCAACGAATCAAGAGCCGATAATAATGATAATTTCGATTTCTATGGGCACTTGATTCTGTATAAGATATTCCAAACTTGGTTGTACTCATATGAAAAGTTCCAAAAAGTTTCCAGATTGGCTCATAGTTGCCACCCACTTCAGAATAGATAGCCAACAAATCAAGTACCGATAATAATGAAAATATGGATTTCAATCGGCACTTGATTCTGTAAGATACTTCAAATGTGTCTGTACTCATTATGAAAAGTTCTAAAAAGTTTCCAGACTGACTCATAATTGGCATCTCTTCACGCATAATTTTCACCTTCACTTTCCAATACATTTTCCAGCAAATCCAGACACAATATTATTCAATGTTTGGCCTATTACCGGCACTTGAAAAAAGTTATCCAACGAATCAAGAGCCGATAATAATGATAATTTCGATTTCTATGGTCAATTAATTATGTGTATGATATTCCAAACTTGTTTGTACTCATATGAAAAGTTCCAAGAAGTTTCCAGATTGGCGCATAGTTGCCACAAACTTCAGAATAGATATCCAACAAATCAAGTGCCGATAATAATGAAAATATGGATTTCAATCGGCACTTGATTCTGTAAGATACCTCAACAAAGGTGTCTGTACTCATTATGAAAAGTTCTAAAAAGTTTCCAGATTGACTCATAATTGGCATCTTTTTATGCATAATTTTCACTTTCACTTTCCAATACATTTTCCAGCAAATCCAGACACAATATTATTCAATGTTTGGCCTATTACCGACACTTGAAAAAAGTTATTCAACGAATCAAGAGCCGATAATAACGAAAATTTGGTTTTCTAGTGATACTTGATTCTGTAAGATACTTCAAATGTGTCTGTATTCATTATGAAAAGTTCTAAAAAGTTTCCAGACTGACTCATAATTGCCATCTCTTTACGCATAATTTTCACCTTCACTTTCCAATACATTTTCCAGCAAATCCAGACACAATATTATTCAATGTTTGGCCTATTACCGGCACTTGAAAAAAGTTATCCAATGAATCAAGAGCCGATAATAATGATAATTTGGATTTCTATGGGCACTTGATTCTGTATAAGATATTCCAAACTTGTTTGTACTCATATGAAAAGTTCCAAAAAGTTTCCTGATTGACTCATAGTTGCCACTTACTTCGAAATAGATATCCAACAAATCAAAAGCCGATAATAATGAAAAATATGGATTTCTATCGGCACTTGATTCTGTAAGATACTTCAAATGTGTCTGTACTCATTATGAAAAGTTCTAAAAAGTTTCCAGATTGACTTATAATTGGTATCTCTTCACGCATAATTTTCACCTTCACTTTCCAATACATTTTCCAGCAAATCCAGACACTATATTATTCAATGTTTGGCTTATTACCGGCACTTGAAAAAAGTTATCCAACGAATCAAGAGCCGATAATAATGATAATTTGGATTTCTATGGGCACTTGATTCTGTATAAGATATTCCAAACTTGTTTGTACTCATATGAAAAGTTCCAAAAAGTTTCCAGATTGGCTCATAGTTGCCACCCACTTCAGAATAGATATCCAACAAATCAAAAGCCGATAATAATGAAAAATATGGATTTCTATCGGTACTTGATTCTGTAAGATACTTCAAATGTGTCTGTACTCATTATGAAAAGTTCTAAAAAGTTTCCAGATTGACTCATAATTGGCACCCCTTATTCATGCATAATTATCACTTCTGTTGGCTCTTGGCTGTCTTCACTTTTCAATACATTTTCCAGCAAATCCAGACACAATATTATTCAATGTTAGCGGCACTTGAGAAAAGTTATCCAACGAATCAAGAGCCGATAAAAATCAAAATTTTGATACACCCTGCAAACTTGTTATTCACCTGAAAAATTTCCAGATTGGCTCATTTCTTCTCGCCTCCATGGCTCTAATTGCCACCTCATCACCCACAAGCCTTACCAGTGGAGCTACCATAATAGCACCTGACGAACCTGGAACCTTAATAAAAGGACCAACTTCAAAAGCTACAGTTAAAGGACCTTCTGGACCACTCATCGTAGCTGTTGGAGATACAGGAGCTGTCATCTCGGCGAGAATCAATGGCGGAATTGTGAGTGCATCAGCTGAATCATCTGGTAAAACTTCAAATTTTAAATTTTGATTATTATTTTTTAATTATCTTTGTTTTATACAGGCAGTGTAGTTCTTCCAGTGGCTCCAATTGCTGTTCCACTAGAACCAGTGGCTCTAGGGAGTTTGCACATAAATGCTGGATATTGATGAATTAGTTTGTAAATTTATATTAAATAAAATTTGATACCTACATACATACATATATAAACTTATTTTGCAAAGCTTCTTCATAAATATACTGAGGCTTTTTTGCAATATGTGGGTAATTCCAAAAGCTTATCAAATTTATTAGCCTGTTATGTCATGTTTAGTCAAATAATCTTTAGCTAATAAATTTTCATTTAACATACCTAATAATTACTTTCCCTATTGATAATTAGTAACTATGCTGCCTTGTTCATTACTGCTCTTACAGATTGGACTAATTTATTGTAAAAATCGGTAGGTAAGTTGTAAGGGAAAATTACTTATAATCATTTAGATATCAGAGTATTTTATCCAAAATCTTTAGTCTAGTATAGAATCCAGGCTAAGTTGGGATTGGTTTATATGATAAAAACTATACAAATTTAAATGTGCAATATTAACACTACACTTTTATTCAATTCAAAAATTGTGTGATATTACAAAAAACAACATTGTGTTGAAAGTGATACTTTCTCATAAGTTTCAGCTACATAATATGTCAATCATTGAAAAATCAGTATAGGTAGATTTTCCATACAAACAAATAAGTATATTATTCATGTTGTAGTACTCAAATGTACTCCGTTTTTCAAAGTTTCATTATCAACAATCCCAAATAAATTCAAGTTCTCCAAAGCATCATCATTGTTTTGGAGTGAAATATTTTGAGTTTGGCTCGAAATCGTTCTGCTCCTTCGGAATTCTTTATCAGTTTGGTCTATAAGCGAACTGTATTTGCGTAAAACTTCATTTCTCACGTCGCTATTGATAAGACAATAGACTAGAGCGGCGAATAGACCCTATAGAAGGTGAGTTTTTAAGTTAAATTGTTAGTAGTTAAATGGGTATTACCTGGAACGAAGTGAAGGTTTGATCGAAAAATAGCCAAATGATTTCCAAAATTTGACTGTGGTGCACGTTGAAACTCAAAACCAATGAGACAGTATATGGAATGCCGTACAAAGGGATCAGGATTAGGGTAGATTTTAATAGTTTCCTAAAAAAAATTATATTTGTTCGATTAGAAATATATTGTAGATTAAAACCATAACTTTTTAAAAACTTTTACCTAGGTAAGTTGTATAGAAATATTTTCTTCTGGAGAATATAATTTGATGGATAACAAATCAAAAGTATTCAAAATTTGGATTTTTCCAGGCTCTTGATTGCCTTAGGAAAAAATTTGTCTTGAATGTTTAATATCTAATTAAGAGCCAAAAACAAAGTATTGATTAACCAGCTCTTGAATCACTAGGAAACTTTTCTCAGAGAAAATGAAAAGCCAGCAATAGTTCAAGTTTTGAAGATTACTGGCTCTTGAATCATTAGAAAACTTCTCTGAATCTTGAATCACTAGAAAACTTTTTGTAGAAGAAATCAAGAAACCAGGAATAGTTCAGATTTTGATGATTACTGGGCTTTTGAATGATTTTAGAATAATTATCCCACTGATTCTTCTTTTTGCCGGTCTAAGTGCTTTGGGTGCGTTCAGTGGGGGTACTGCAGGTATTGCAAAATCTGCAAACGATAGCTGTTCTGCCAAAGATAAACTCGCCGAATGTAAACGACACAATAAAACGATGGAATAATCAAAATTCGGACTATTATCGCATCTCGATTATACAAAATTGACTCTGAACCACAAAAATCACTATTTGGAACTCAATAAACTCGTTTTAAAAGCCCAAAATATTTGATCTATCGAGTTTCAATGAATCTAAGATAACATAGAATGAGTATGGTTTGATCCTTACCGGTATTTAATTTTTTTCTCTTGAATAAATGTGGCGGTGAAGTGCATTTTCAGTACAAGTACTCGAACAATTATTATAAATAAAATAAAATTCACAATAACCGTGACTCCGATAGGTACATTCAAAAATAGACCAATATAGTAGTTGTCCTTATTGTTCCAACATAAGGTGTCCTCGAAAATTATCTTCAATATTATCCAAGGGATTATAAAAAGTATTGGAGTCACTGTAAAATAATTGTTATTATTATTGGAAATTCGATTATTAAAAGCTTACCCCATCCGAATAAACAATAAACAGTTGTGCCATGGCTTTCAGAGAATAAATTCAAAAATATGAGATTATGCAGATACAGTCCTTCCATTAACATCAATATAAAATTTGATAGGATAATGTAGTTTTGAGTGCTTATGAATACTTTACACATCCAAGACTAAAAAAAAATAAAATCATTAATACCCATAAAAAAAAATTATTAATGGACTCACATAATCCAACTTGGTTTGTCCATTTACTTGACTAACATCATTAAACATAGTCAGTCCATTTAAAAACAGTGCATTTTTTAAAATATACATAAAAGCCCTTAATATGTACGAGATAAATAAGTTTATGTGTAGTTTATTTCTTTCACAGTGCAGTCTTCTATGTAGAAAAATATATTCAATAAACAAAATTAAATTAAACAGAAATCTTACTTCAACGAGATAAATATGACTAGAGCAACGACTAGAGACACAAAAGACAATCCGTAACCCATAAACGAAGCGTCTTTGATAAACGGAAACCATTTGTCGTAGATTTGGACGGTTTGGTTGGCCAGGGCAGTAGCTTCCTGATCGATTATATTGATTTGGCCGCATTGAGTTAGATTCGTCCAGCGTTGGTGGGTTTTTGGACTGATGAACCAGGTACCGTTTTCTGTACAAAATTTTGTCGCCAAACCAACCTAAAAGAGAATTTTGTTTTTGTTTAGCCCGGTGCGTTTGTTATTCCGAAGAGAAAGTGAAGAAAACTGATGAAGGCACAGTTAGGAGAGGAAAGAATAAAACTAAAACTAATAAAAGGAAATTTCTACATTAGGAAATAAGAAAAAGAAGTAAAGAATTTGATGAAGAACTGAGGAAAGAAGAAAGAATGGAACAAAGTGATATGCAAACAAGTCAAAAAACGGATAATGGAACAATGAAACTGGACAAGAGAAAGAAAAACTAGCTTCACATTGAGTTTTTATTTTTTTCCTGAAGATTTTTGTCTGTAGGTGCAAATAAGCTGAAATTTTCAGGGATTGTAGTCCTTCAAAAGGGATAAAATTCAGTGAAAGATTCAGCTTTCTATCTATAATAGAAAAAAAGTTATGACCTTTCAAAGTTTTCCAAAATCTAAATCATCAGGTAGGTACCTTCTTACTAAAACGATGAAATTTCAATTTTTTTTTTGTCGAGATTTCTGTATCCTAATGGTCAATCAACATCCCCCAAACTCCATACACTGAACTATTCTCAGATTTGAAGCCGAAATCTATGAAAAAAGGCACTCAGAAAAATTGAAAAATTGATAAATCACCCCAAATTGCTTAACACGATTTTATCTCAGGAACTATAAGTGCAAATGAGCTGAATTTTTCAGGGATTGTAGTCCCTTGATGGGGATAAAATTGAGTGAAAGTTCCAGCTTTCTATCTATAGTAGAAAAAAGTTATGAGCTTTCAAAGTTTTCCAAAATCTAAATCATCAGGTAGGTACCTTCTTACTCAAACGATGAAATTTAAATTTTTCTTTTGGCAAGATTCTGTATTCTAATGGTCAATCAACATCCCCAAACTCCATACACTGAATTATTCTCAGATTTGAAGCCGAAATCTATGGAAAAAGGCACTCAGAAAAATTGAAAAATTGATAAATCACCCCAAATTGCTTAACACGATTTTATCTCAGGAACTATAAGTGCAAATGAGCTGAAATTTTCAGGGATTGTACTGCCTTGATTGGGATAAAATTCAGTGAAAGTTTCAGCTTTCTATCTATAATAGAAAAAAAGTTATGAGCTTTCAAAATTTTCCAAAATCTAAATCATAAGGTAGGTATCTTCTTACTAAAACGATGAAATTTCAATTTTTTTTTGTTGAGATTTTGTATCCTAATGGTCATTTAACATCCCCTAAACTCCATATACTGAATAATTCTCAGATGTGAAGCCGAAATCTATGAAAAAAGGCACTCAGAAAAATTGAAAAATTGATAAATGACCCTAAATTGCTTAACATGATTTTATCTCAGAAACTATAAGTGCAAATGAGTTTCAAAGTTTTCCAAAATCTAAATCATAAGGTAGGTACCTTTTTACTACAGTTTCTGAGTAGATTAATTATAGAAGGCTGAATGACTTTACAAAGGAATACAGCCTCATTAGAAGCAACTGGCTTTCAAGATTAGACTCAGAAAATAAATATCAATGAAGAAGATAAAGAGAAGACCGCCTCTACTAGCTTGAACCGGCCCATACCAATTTCAAATTGATTAATTTTCTGAGTCTAATGCAATAACTTATTATACTAATAACATCTTCAAGCGTTGAGAAGAATGGAGAACAATTTTCTATTTTGAAATACCAGCCACTTCCATTTCATTCTCATTCTAACTTATACTTTTCAGTACATATAAGATACTACATACAATAAATTTTAATTTAATTTGAATTTTATTGAAATACAATTCCAGTTAAAACAACAACTAATATACAAGAAACGTTCGAGAATTTGTCGCGATTGGTGCAAGGAATATGCGAGAATTGTTTGACGAAAAGTTTTGAATGTGAAGCATTTGATTGGTCGAAAATCACACTTTTTATACTTTCTTGACTCAATTCTGACATTATTAAAAAAAATTGTACTTTTGAACTAAAAAGCACAAAATTTCAGCTCTACTAGAGACGGAAAAGAGATTTTCACAATTTTTCAATTGAATTTTGGACCTAAACGAGTCAAAAATGAGCTTCTTGAACCTTTTCAATTGTCTCACTTGCAGATTTTTTGAATTCTTGGGCCAATTATTGTGAAAGTTTCTGGTCAACTCTCTTTATTATAAAACGTCCAGCAAATAAGCTCTTCAGAAACGTTATCCAACGTATCAAATCAATAGCCGATAATAATCATTTACAGACTCTTGACTGCCTCAAAAGGACTATCCATCCAATAAAGAGCCAATAACAATTAAGATTTTTACTATTATCGGCTCTTTATTGATTCAGAAAAATTATCTGCCCAATCAAAAGCAGGTGATAGTCAAAATTTGGACTTTTATCGGCTCTTGATTACTTCTAGAGAGGTTGGCTTTTGACTGCCTTTAGCTATAGACAAATTTTCCAGAGAATGCAGAAACCAAAATAATCCAAATTAGGACTCTTATAGATATTACAGTTCTACAGAAATGTTATCCAACAGATCAAGAGCTGATAATAATGAAAATTTGAACTTTTACAGGCTCTTGATTGCCTCAGAAAGACTATCTGTCCAATCAAAAACCAGTCACAATGAAAATTTTGACTATTATCGGCTCTTGATTGCCTCAGAAAGACTATCTGTCCAATCAAGAACCAGTCACAATGAAAATGTTGACTATTATCGGCTCTTGATTGCCTTTAGAGAGACTATATACCTCTAACCCAATAGCTAATGATAATCAAAATATAGCCTTTCATTGGTTTTTGACTGCCTTTACCTATAGACAAATTTTTTAGAGTATGGACAAACCGAAATAATCCAAATTAGGACTTTTGTATTGCAGTTCTTCAGAAATGTTATCTAACAGATCAAGAGCAAATAATAAAGAAAATTTGAACTTTTATAGGCTCTTGATTGCCTCAGAAAGACTATCCATCCAATCAAAAACCAGTCGCAATGAAAATTTTGACTATTATCGGCTCTTGATTGCCTCAGAAAGACTATCTATCCAATCAAAAAACAGCCACAAAGAAAATTTCGACTATTATCGGCTCTTAATTGCCTTTAGAGAGACTATACCTCTAACCCAATAGCTAATGATAATCAAAATATAGCTTTTCATTGACTTTTGACTGCCTTTACCTATAGACAAATTTTCCAGAGAATGGAGAAACCTAAATAATCCAAATTAGGACTCTTATATGTATTACAGTTGTTCAGAAATGTTATCCAACAGATCAAGAGTAGATAATAATGAAAATTTGAACTTTTACAGGCTCTTGATTGCCTCAGAAAGACTATCCATCCAATCAAAAACCAGTCGCAATGAAAATTTTGACTATTACCGGCTCTTGATTGCATCAGAAAGACTATCTGTCTAATCAAGAACCAGTCATAATGAAAATTTCGACTATTATCGGCTCTTAATTGCCTTTAGCTAGTTATAATCAAAATATAGCCTTCCATTAGCTTTTGACTGCCTTTACCTATAGACAAATTTTCCAGAGAATGGAGAAACCGAAATAATCCAAATTAGGACACTTATATGTATTGCAGTTCTTCAGAAATGTTATCCAATAAATCAAGAGCAGATAATAAGGAAAATTAGAACTTTTATAGGCTCTTGATTGCCTCAGAAACATTATGCATCCAATCAAAAACCAGTCGCAATGAAAATTTTGACTATTATCGGCTCTTGATTGTCTCAGAAAGACTATCTGTCGAATCAAGAGCCAGTAACAATCAAAATTTTGACTATTATCGGCTATTGATTGCTTCCGACTAGTCAAAAGCCGGTAATAGTCAAAATTTGGACTTTTATCGGCTGTTGACTGCCTTTAGAAGGAGGCCTTTCTGTCTAATCAATAGAATAGCTACTGACTTGATTACTTGAAATTTTGACCAAAAGAAAAATGTTACTTTGTCAATAATTGTCACGCTTTTGATTGATTTTGCCATATGATTTTCAAAAGTCTAGGAGTAAACTTATCCCTTATTTTCCTACTTTATCGGAACCTGTGTCATAGATAAATCTGTAAAGAACTTTCATTGCCTTTTCTTCCCAATTTGGTATATTTGAATCTTATTTGTTTTAATTTTCAATATCAACTCTTGAACCAAAAATTTTGACTCAAATGTCCTTAGGATCGTTAGTCTTGACTTGCAATCTACTGTTGAGAGATTTCAATATCTTGAGATTCTTGATTGTTAAGGGTCTTTTCAATATTAAGTCTTCGGGGTTTTTAGAATATAAAGCTTCAAAGACGAGAATCTTTAATATTAGCTCTTGAATCTAGAATTTTCCAGTAGTATCTGCATTTGAGTCATTTCCAAATCCCCGAATTTGATTTTTCATAGTTTTTAGTACGAATTCCTTCAAAATCACTTGAATGTTAACTCAGACTTTTCAGTATCGAGTCTTTCTATAGGTTCTCGAGTTTGATATTTCAAAATCGGAAATTTTGTCTCTTCCGAGAGTTAGAGTTAACTCTTTCACTAAATATTTTGATTCTTGATTTAGCTTTTCAGAATCGTGAGTATTGACTATTCAAGGGAAACAATATTGCTAGGAGACTTTAATGAAAAGGGGGAAGAAAAAAGCAGGCTAATATCAATATATTATCAATTAAAATTCTTAATAGAAAAACATCTAGACTAGATGAAGATGAAACGCTTGATAGTGATGCAAAAATCAAAATTAATCAATTTACCAAGTATAATGTTCCAATATTGGAGAAAGCTTAGTAACTAATGGTAATACCGAGTAGATAGACAATTTTCCACGATTTAATGAGAAGTAAAACTGAACATATTTGATTTGGCTATCAAAAAGTCCTGGGGTGCGTTCAAAGACGGCAATGCTAATGCCAAAACTTGCTTTTCCCCCTCCACCAGTAATGCCGAAACACGTAGGTTGGAGCCGAACTCGAACGCAAAATGCCAATTTTGGCTTGGTTGAAGCCGTTCCTGAACGCAGCCCTGGACACTCTACTTACTTCTTCTGTACT